TTGAAAAACACGAATTCGAGTTTGACAGCATGTACACAATACACATCAATGAGAAAGTGTGCAAAATTTGGTTGATTTTTACCCAATGGTAGAAAAGTTATGCCCTGTTGAATGTGTCGCAATAATTTCGTGTTCGCCCTTTATGTGTGCTGCAGCTCGCTGCTTGTGGGCAGCCTTTCGTTGTGTACTGGAGAACAATGTTCAATGCCATGCAACAAAAGCACAGCTGCTGCTGCTGATTATGACGATGGACCGGACACCACCACACACGGTGATTAAATAAGCTCCGTTCGACGGGACCGGATGGAATTAGATTTTGAAATCCGTGATAGGGAAAGCGCTTTTTGCTTGCAGTTGGTGATAATTTTGATCACAATTGCAATAGTTGGACATATGCGTAATTTTTAAAAGCAACCTTTTGAAAATAGATAAAGTTTTTCTTGTAGCAGATTTGTAGAGAATTTGTCAATCGATTGGCTTGTTCAGAATTTAAAACCATCCGCTATGGACAGAGTTATAAGTGGTTAAAACCTGACCACTTTTCGTAACGCGGTCGATTTTGGTTTTTTGAAATTGCACCCTCAATATGTTGCCGAAAGACGTGATCCTACGTCAAAAGGAAATGTTAGCGAATAGTTCCTGCTTAAAGCAGATTTTTTCGTCAATTATATATTAGGCTACTCAAGGTCTCGCTATTTGTAGTCATCATGATGACTCAAGCAACTTCACTAATTTGTTGAACTTGCGTGGTGAAGATTCGCGCGAGTTGCAAATGTGGCTGAAACGAGAATCTTACGAGAAGTCATTCTTTTCTTCGACAAGTGATAAAGCGGATGAGGGAAGCGGATTTTTTTGCGACTATATGTGACGAAACGGCGGACATTAGCAGAAAAGAACACTTTTCTTTTTGTTTAAGGATTTTTACACATTCTCTTGAGGTCCAGGAGTTCTTCCTTGGTTTCTACAAAGCTTAATCAACCACTTCGTCGTATTTGCATTCTATTTTTGAAGATGTTCTCGTTCGATTCGATCTGCTTATCTCAAGTTGTAGAGGACAGTGCTACGATGGGGTGAATAATATGGCTGGCAGTAAAATCAGAGTACAGACAAGAATACTTGCTGACAACAAATGGGCTCTTTCTGTCCATTTTCTAGCTCATTCTTTAAATTTTGTCAGAGATCCACCTTAAAGACTTGACGCTCCTGATTCTGGCTCTAAGGTATCCGTATTTTTGAGAATGTTGGGGAAATTCGAATTCTACTTTGTCTTGAACGGTGATTTTTTTTTTGGATACGTCGATACAGTGAATACAGCCTTACAAAAAATCCCTGCGATTGGAGGAAGCACACCGGATGGTCGAAATGCTGAAAGCTAGCCTAAGCTTCTCTAAAAATGATTATGGGGAAATTTAGGAAAAACTAACAAATAAACAGACCAGAAGAAGTTTGATCACCGAAAGTATCCAGGAAAAAAATCCCAATCATTTCGACCCACTCTACCTACTTTTGGGCTCCTGCACTATAGAGCGGAGATGAATGAAAATAATTTACTTGTGGGTACTTTTTTCTTACCGTGTAGAAATTATTAACAAAGTCCTGGTATCGCTTACCTCTCGCTTCGATATGGAATCTTTTTTTTTATTCGAATTTGCACAATTTATGCAGGGTGGCGACACCAATATGTCAAAAATTATCAGTTTCTATGGTAATGACATCGATTCGGATCTGTTGCTGGTGCAAAGAGAGGTGTTTTTAACGATTCTTAAAGAAGCAGATAAAACTGTGGAAATAATTTCCAGCATCCTCGATTACATCAAATCTGTTTGAAAAGTTTTTAAGAATTAACCTTACCATTCCCGTGTCGTCAACTACTGCTGAGAGCTCGTTTACAAGTCTTGGGCGTCTGAAGACCAATATATTATATTTTCATAAGGACATGGCTAAGGGTCTCGATTTGGATGTCATCGTGAACGAATAAATCAATAAGAATATTCAAAACCAGCGCATGTTCTACGCATAAAACTAAACATGAATAAATCTATTTTTGCTCAACTAAAAATCCATAAGTCAACTTGTTTCAAACCATCTTACCCCCCCATATTTCTATGAAGGTGGTGCTTCTGGACGTGATGGTCGAGTAATACTGAGCTATTAGGTGTTCAACACAGATAAGTCTGGTGAGCTGTATGTTGTTTCGAACGAGAGTGAGTTACTGAATCCGATCAGTAGCGATGTGGCTTCTTCCTCCTTATTCGGTGAATTAACGCTCATGTGGGCTGCAGCTCGCTGCTTGCGGGCAGGCTTTCTTCGTGTACTGGAAAACTATGTTCAACGCCATGCACCGAATGCACTGCTGATGATGATGACGACCGACCGGACACCACGACACACGATGATTGAATAAGCACCGTTCGGCGAGACTGGATGGAATTCGATTTGGAAATCTGTGTTAGGGAAAGCGATTTTTGCATGCAATCGGTGATAGTTTTTATCACCATTGCAACAGTTGGACATGTGTGTAATTTTCAAAAGTAGCCTATAGAAAATTAATAAAGTGTTCATTTTAGCAGATTTGTAGAAAAATTTTCAATCGATTGGCTTGTTTAGAATTAAAGTTCATCCTCTATTGACTGAGTAATAAGTAGTCAAAACCAGACCACTTTTCGTTGCGCTGTTGATTTTGGTTTTTTGAAATTGCAATCCAATATGTAGCTGAAACACGTAATCCTATGTCAAAAAATTCACGGGTTGAGGAGACCATTTTTATCCCCATTCTTGTGAGTTGGAGGGATCACCTTTTGTTTTGTTGGAAGAGGGTTTCCTGATGATCCTTCGGTTGATGCTCTGGCCTTTTTCATCACTTCAGGCGGATGGCTGTTCATATGCATATGAAAATTACTAATTCAACCTGACTTTTTAGGGCATTGCTAACTACTACGTCGGACTCGCCTCCAGCTTCCCATGATGATTTTTTTTTCATCCTCTTTTGAAAGTTTCTTCTGACTTCGCCCGTTCTATCATTTGTTTTCCCACAAATTTCCCTCTTTTTTTTTTACTGAGTGTGCCAACTTCTCTTGAATGATTATTTTGATTACGCCCGGAAGTTTCTCCTACTATCCATCTAGATTCAACCGAAAGTATTTTCCGACTTTCGGTGGAAACTACCTCCAAACTGTTCCCGAACAGTTTATTCCAACTTCTCTAGAGAGTTTATTCCATCTTTTCCTTAGACTGCCATTGAAATTTCCTTTCGAGTTTTGCCAGAACCTTGAACTTGCAATCAATCATTCTAGTTTCAGCTGACATTGTCTTCCGACTTCCCAGGAAGTTTTATGCGACCTATCCTAACTCTGTTTCAGCTGTCCTCAGAAGTCAGCCTGGCTGGCTCTTCCCCCGAAATCGTTTTGTCTTCCTTTATAAGCTTTTCCCAACTATACCCGGGAATTATAAAGCAAATTTCTCTTAAATGTAAAGCTTTTTTTTTAAATGTGTAAAACGGTTATTACTCATACGATTTCTCAAAGACGATGCAATTTAACAACATATTTCGTTATCTGTATTTGGTCATAACTAATCAAATTAAATGCTTGTAAAATCATAAATTTCCGGATTTTTTTTTAGTAAGCGTTAGTGTTAGCGTTGTTATAATATACTTCGTAGATTGGATTGCTAGCGATACTCATGACTCTGATTGTCGCTGTTCCCGGCCACGCCCATCTTTACCATAACTAGGGATAGGGAAGGAGATGTAGGCCACCGACTTAGCTATAAGTGCTACGGAGATGGAGGTTCGGATAAGGTATTCGGTTAGGATTCGCCTCAAGTTGGCGATGCAACCAAAAGTATATCAATTTTTTTTTTTGTAAAATATTGTTTATTTAGGTCTTAAATAACATATTCAAGCAGTGCTGCAAATTTTCAAATCATTCATTTGAATCCGAGCAAACATGAACAATCAGTCGATTCTGATAACTCTTCTATTCATCAGAACCATCAATGTCAATGAATCGATTTGACAGATGGGTGTGCTTCATTCATGCGGGTTGCTTTTCGCTGTCTTTATTTTGTTCAATTGAATGAACCCTCATTCATTCGAACCACCATTCATACAGTTCATCGAGTTTTACTCTTGTCAAATGAAAAGGCAAGTCTATCAATTGACTTACTGATCACGATTCAATTGATCTTCGCGTGGTAGTGCTAAACGTTAAGATTTGGTTCAAAGTAGAATCCCAAGAATGGAAAGCCAAAAAAGAAAAACTGAAAATTCTAAAAGTTTTGCCGAAATCACAGCCCAATTCGTGCAAAAAGACGGAGAACGGGTGTACTGCCGGATTGAAGGCAACAACAAGTGCACATACATCCAATCAAAATACGATGCCGGAAACTTTATCCGTCATTTTCGGACTCGTCACACAAACCTGGCTAAAGAGCACGGTTTGATAAGTGAACATGCAACGCCGAAGAAAAAACCTCGAATTATCCCTAAAAAATCAGTTCCAATTGACAAACAGTTGCTCGTGGATTCAGCCATAAAACTCGTAACCTACCATCATCTTCCACTGTCGTGTTTCCAGTGGGAAGGCCTTAGACAGCTACTGGATCCCTTAGAAGCAGCTGTGGGAATCAAGCTGAACCGATCAAACGCAACAGTACACATTGAGCAAGCAGCATCTAAAATCCGGACAACCATGGCAATCGAAATGAAAACCAGACTGTTATGCTTAATGATCGACTCAGCCTCTCGACTTAACCATCATGTTCTGGGGATTGGAGTGCAATTCGCTGTGGGTGACACAATTGTAACCAGAACACTAGGTGAGAAGATCTATAATTATTTTTGACACTTTTTTTGAGAACATATTTGCTATAGGTATGATCGAGGTCAAGGACCATCAAACTGCTGGTTTTTTTAAATCAAAAGTTCTCGAAATACTGGCTCGATATGGTCTCAAGCTTGATCAAAAATTTTTGCGATAACGGTCGACAATGGAGCCAACATGCTTGCTTGTGTCAGGCAGCTCAAGGATGAGTTTGAGGCATCATTGATTCCTATGTTGACTGAAGAAGACGACGAAGCATCAAACAGCATTGCTGAGGAAATGGCCGAGAAGATTACAAATGAGTTCCATGACCAGGCACGAGAGAACTTAAACCTGGTGAGATGTGCTGTACACACCCTACAGCTGGCCATCCTCGATGTCGTGGATAAAAGCCACCCTAACGTGAAGCAAGTTACTGAGGTTGCCAAACGCTGTAAAAACGTGAAATACAAAACGAATTTCGATTACCACAACGCCACATATCCTCCAGTTTGGTGCCAGACAAGATGGGGTGGGATATTCAAGATGCTCGATAGTTTTTTAGAGCAGAAATCCTTCTTTGTCCAACTGGGACAGGAGTTCCCTGAGCTATGTAAGATAAATTTAGAACTCTACAAAAGAAATAACGATAACACAAATCATCATCATTATTTATAACAGATCTTTCATCCAACTGGGAATTCGTCGAGCAATATGTTGAAGCATTCAGGCCATTATTCGTTTGCACAAAAAAATTCCAAGAAGCTCACATGTCACTTAACGATTTTTATCTTGAATGGTTGATGACAATACGCGAGGTGAGACAGCTGGAAAACAATCCGTTTTCCAAAGTTTTGGTCGAATCGCTGACAAGGAGACTCACAAACCTCAAAGGCTGTATGGCGTTTAAAATGGCATTATATCTGGACCCGCGGCTTTCTTTCATAAATTCAAAAATATTCACCATTGCCGAAAAGGAACATATACAGGTAACAATAAATAAAACGGTACAGTTTATACCAGGCACATCAGAGTTCATAATTTTTTTTTCCTAAATATACAGAGATTTATTTTTCAAACATGGGAACGCATCAAACGGCTGGAAATCGATTCCGTTGAACCGACTACCTCGGCTAATGACAACAGTGAAACCAACGAAAAGGATGATTTTATCACGGAAATGTTTGGTGGAACATTGGTTGCTTCATCTTCAAACTCCACATTCCAGCAGCAGGTTAAGGCTCTTGAGGCGGAACAACGTCAACCTACGTCATACAACGTGTGGCAACATTGGATGAACCGTAAGACTAGTCACCGTGAGCTATCTGCTGTTGCTGCAGTGGTAATGTCTGTACCAGCGACGCAGTCAATGGTTGAAAGGGCGTTCAGCGCTCTAGCACTGGTTCTTTCACCCCATCGGTCCACATTAGGCGAGGGCACATTGGAAAACATCCTACTGATAAAGCTAAACCGGGAGGTTTATGAACAAATAATCCCTACTCTATACAATTGGAAGGATTCATTGGCCGACTATTGAGGACGGCATCTTCGGAATCAACTGATTTTCTTATTTTTTATTTTTCATCAATTGCTTTGTTTCAACTGTTTCTTGGCTCAATTGGTTGAAAGACAACAGAAAAATAGAGGTGGGTGGACGGCACCACCCGCCACATAAATGGAGGGATTACTTGTTTTTCTATGATCAGTGATAATAAGGACATATATTCAAATAGAATAAGGGCCTAGCACCTGTTGTACACGATGACTTCTCTCAATGATGACTAGGAATTTAAGACACGCTCACGCAAACCAAAATAACCACCAGACAGGGGCAGTCTTTCCTACCCGAAAGTTATGTTGGTTTACGTGGGCAAGTCTGATTTTCTAAAAATCATGTAGAGAAGGTATTGTTGATAAAAGTTGTTAGGCCCTTTTCCAGTTCTATCTAGAATTATTCAATCTTTATGGCTATAGCATATAGGCACCCAGGCAATAATCAACACATAAAAACCAACCACCTTACCAGTGAGCACTTTTCCTATAGCTCGTGAACTCTTCCTTATTCATGTTCATTTAATTAATTTATTCTTCAGTTAGTAACCACTTCACCATTCTTGAAAGATTAAATTACATGTAGACAATTTGAAAATTATGTACACTGACAGACTAACTCACTTCACCCAAAAGGAATTCAATGTCGTTATTTTTTCAATAATTCAAATAAGGCCATTCATAAAAAATCGATTTATTAAGAAATGGTGATGACAATTGTAGAGGTAGGTGGCTATACTTGATTCGGGGTATGCTTGATCCACTTTCATGAGATGCGTAGCCAATGCTAAAAAGTTTTGTTTATTTCTGTAGAACTGGAAAAAGGGCCTAACAGTTTTTGAAAACAATGCCTTCTCTAGATGATTTCCAGAAACTAAAAACTCACCCACGTAAACCCACATAACCATTGGGTAGGGAAAGACTGCCCCCAACCCAGGTGTTATGTTGGTTTGCGTGGGAGTGTCTCGAATTCCTAGGCATCATCGAGAGAAGTCTTTGTTTACAAAAGCTTCTAGGCCATTTTTCTAGCTGAATCTAGATTTGAGCTAGTTGGATTCTGTTACTGCATACACCAGATTTACAAAACAACCATCATGAGGGTCAAGTCTCCCCTCGAATCAAGTATGGGCACTCTCCTTTACTGTTATCTCCTCAATTTATCCGCGTTATCCAACAGTTAGTGCAGAGCAAGAAAACAGGATCCGTAACACAGCATGTATTTCTGGCTGGATGAAATCTTCGCAACACTCGCAATGTCAGATGCATGGTTTTATCGCTTTTAATGGTGCTCTGCATGCAAATCCTGGAGTGATCCACAAGTTCCACATCATACCTTCGGTAATTTTGGAGCACTACAGTACGCAGTATCATTTGGGATGAATGTGTGCAAAACTTTGCCAGACGAAACGAAACGGATTTATAATTGCTCTCTGCCGTAATTTGAAAATGTGAGTAGAATTAATAGAAGAATCAGTATTATATTACATTGCAGAAAATACCTCTCAAAATACAACCAAATTGCAAAACTTTCAGCTGCTTGCAAATCGACGTTTTGTTTTGATACGATTGTTTTTGTTTTCGTTTCTTGTGTACTGCTTTGCGTCAATGAATGAAATACAAGTTTGACAAAATGTATTTCATGTTTCTTTCATTCTTCGGATTTACTTACACAGCAGCACATATGACGTCAAACTTGAAGCTTCTTTTGACGACATATACGGATGAAAGAGATGACAGTTTACATAGTCGGACCTGTTGTCAACTATCGTGACGCTGTTCATTTATGTAAATTTGACAGCGAATGAACCGATTTCATGGTTCACTACCACAAGCTGAGTCAATGAAGGAGGCAGGTTTGTTTTCAATTGCATATAAATGACTAATGAATCAAACGACAAGAAGGGGTTTCTCGTTTGACAATGAACCTTTCATGACTCAATTGAAGATGTTAACGAAGCTCAAATGATTAATCCATGGTGTGTTGATAATGAAAGGTTGCCTTTCTCATTTTCGTGGTTTATTTTCGTTTGAGTTTGAAGTTTTACCGCACTGTATTCAAGATATTTAAAAAATATATCAATCTTCTAGAGTCAAAATGAAATCTAGCTCGCCTACATCTATTCTATTATTAATATTCACATTGACAAAGTTGATGTACTTAATGAACGTTTTTAAAATTTGATTTCTTCTCGCTGTTGTCATGTTACCCAAGATTGGCCGTACAAGATCGTCGAAGCTCAGCCTCTGCCAGCCGCCGAGCGTCGTCGTCAATTTTCGCTGGATGTGTGCCCAAGCTGCAGCAACTCGAGGGCATTCGCAAAACTTATGTTGCAAAGTCTCGATTCCTACCGCACAGTGCTGACAGTTTGGGTCGTTTGCACGGCCGATGACGTTCATCAGTCTACGGTGCTCCGTCTTCTCGTTCACTAGCAGATAGAGATCAGTACGCTGGCTCGACGATAGCCTTCTCGATGATATGTTCATCCAGATCTTTTTCCAATTGATGCCTGGATGGTTTCGTTCCACTCTGGGTAGCTCAGTTTGTTCCAAGTAGAAACGATGGATTTGATCGCTGGAGGGGTTTTGTTGGATGCGGTGTGAGAGAAGTTTTAGGCAAGGAAGATCGGCGGGGGAGGAATATTTTGGGCGAGAAGGGACTGATAATAGGGAAGAGAAACGATCTCCTGCAGGTGACGATTGACTAGAAGTGCTTTGCATTTGATCGCCGGCAGTTGCAGTTTCAATGCACCCTGCTCTCTGCTGCGCGCCAACTGCTGCATTGGGACTCGTGCGGGTAGCCCACGAAAAAGGAAAGTCCCCATCGTTGATGTCAGCTTCGCCGTGTGAGCACATTGCGGTGGAATAACAGACGAGAGGTACCACACCTTCGCTGTAATGAAGATGTTCAGCAGTAGCACTTTCTGCTGCAGGGAAAGGGAGCGCATGTTATGCAACCATATGAGTTGCGAGATCCTCGATACTAAAGCGTCCCAGTTTAGTTTAACCATCAGTCGCACTGAGTTGGTGAAAATAACACCCAGTACCTTGACATTCTCTTTTGTCTGCAGCCCTGGTATCGTCAGTGGATCTCCATTGATAAAACCAACATCGATCGCCACTGTTTTCAGTCGATTTAGCTTTGCCCCGGATACGATCTCGAAGCTACCAAACAGCTGATAAATACGTAGTTGAAGATGCTAATTTCAAATAACAGACTGTAGTGGTAATTTTTATACGATAGATGGAGTAGATGAAAGCATAGAGTTGATAGTTCCGTTAGAGTACGGCAGTGTGAAGATTGTATATAGATATTAGAATAGCGAACTAGGACAACTTTTAAGGAAGGTACAAATCGGTTTTTTCATCTCTCTTTACCAAACTCCCCCTTTGGAGAGGGATGGTGAGGGGTGTCCCCCCCCGCCCCACAACCCCCGCACCCGAGATGGGAAATGACAGGTGGGCAGGAACTCACGGTCTCCCAGTGTTGGTGAGTTCTTTGCCGTTAATGTTCACGAAAAGTTCACTATTTTGCCATACAGAAATCCAAAACAAATTTTTTTATCTGCGGATTTGGACAGTTTTTTACCTGTTTCATACGACCGGAAGGTGTATGCTGGTCACAAATGCCGTGCCAAACTGATTTCCTAATTAATTAATTAATCTATGATGTGAATTTCGCTAATAAACACGAGGAGCATTTCTTGAGCTTGCTTGAGCTTGAGCTTGATTGACCGCCCACGGTTGCTACTCTGTTATTGCCAGATCAGCTGTAATTACACAGAGAACCAATAGACGATGCTTGGGTCTAGCAATCATCCTCAATGTGTAAAAACTGGTGATCTTAAATTAGGCAATACCAGCGCCGGCCGCGCCCGAACACAGGTCAAGAAAGGAATGGGAAGGATTGTGTTGACATGACACTCGCTTTGATGGAAGCCGAGAACACCTCTGCACTTCCACGAGGAATCACTGGGATGTTGGATAAGAGGGTTGGGTTTGCAGCAGGGTTCGTTTTGGTAAACGATAAGCTGAATTGATTTCCTAACGATCATATAACGCGAAGGAGCTTGGGACTAAACCCACGGTCTTCTGCTCAGTAAGCAAAAACGTTTGCCACTAGGCAGACGAGCACCTTTTTAATCACCGAGTTGCTGTTATTACCATGTAGTCATATTAACAAATAAAACGATTGGCGAAACTTGAATGTGGATGGGCCTGAGATTAGACTCATGATGTTCTGCTCAGTAAGCAAAAACGGTTGCTCTAAGGCCACCGAGCCCTTCATATCACATAATACCGTTGCTCAACTTTTTGTATCCATTCAAACCCGGAACCAACGACAACAACGAGTTTCGCAAAATACACGATACACAAGCGATTTTACCATAAATCTCTTTGATATGTAAGGACCTGGGACCGCGTTTTTCTGCTCAGTAAGCAGGCCACTGTAACCGACGATCTTTCAAATCCGAAAACTAAAAACTACGAAAAAGTACTTAGGCCTTCATTAAGTTCCACTTTCACGCGACGTTCAATGACAGGGTCCTATCCAGGATTACATCTGAAAAATCCAAATCTGGCCAACGCCCACCTAAACCTGTTCTAATCCACCTGAAATGACTAACGAATGGAAGACTTTGACTACCCAGCCATGCAATAGTCTCATTCCGTGCCTTATGGCAACTTGATGATTCTATTGCGCTCATCTTTTGGCACCACCCAGGGGAGACTTGGTCCTGTACCCAATGCTTAACTTATCTCCATTCCACTCAGCTACTCGCAATTTCTTGTGATATAGTGGGCGGAATATTATTATATGAGACAATTCAATGCAGACGTCTTTCCAAATTTGGCAGATCGACAGGTAATCGGTGAGTTACCACGATAGTCGCTATTCAACAACTCGCAACGTCCCATCGTCAACGCCTGCTATGAGAATTTCCCATTGCAGACGCCAACGAAATGATGTCATCGAGCTATCGATCAACTACCCTGGTTATCGCCTGGTACCTTATAGCACGATGCTAGGAGGCGAACCGGAAGAATCGATGAGCTACCTCCCCCAATAAACACGAGGAGCATTTCTTATAGCAAAACTTGCCATAACAAAATGGGCGGTTCATTTTAGTAAACAAACTAACACTTCTTCCGACTGTGTCACCTCTCTTACTCGCCTAGGTGGGGTACAATTTCAGCCACAAATCGTGAAGCTGTAGCTGCCGTACGGTCGCTTGGAGAGCCGGGCTTGTGTTGGAACTCGTTGAGTCGCTCGGACGTAGCACGCAGTTAAAATCTCCAGCGAGGATGACGTTTTGAGTGTTGTACCGAAGGTAGTACGCGATCGTGCCGTTGAAAAATCTTTCTCTTTCCGCACGAAAAACTGTCCCCGATGGCGCATATACGTTGCAGAGCGTCGTGTTTTGCACCCTCAAAGCGATGAGACGACCATCCAGGCTCTTCTCCACATGCGAGAATTGTATGTGGTCTTTCAGCGCGATTGCCGTTCCCCGCCTTGCTTGGTCCACATTGCAGATAACGTTGAAGCCATGGATAGAGAGTTGCTCATTCTCCACCTCCTGGAGGAAAACGATATCCAGTTCCAGTGTTCGTACAAAGGTTCGAAGAGCGTCAATCTTCGTTGCGTTCGTAATATTGTTTATGTTGATGGTGGCGAGGTTGTAACTGGAGAACTCAGCCATTAGGACGGTTGGTTACTCCCATCTCGCTTGTCGTCGCAGTCGTCATCCACGCGAGGCTTCTTGCCTGGTGGTCGAGTGCGGAGGTGTCTTCTGGAGCTGGATGACCCTACAGACGAATCTGTTTCGTTTCCATCGGACTTACCACTAGCAGTTTTGCGATCCACTCCGCCGCTAGCGGGGGGTTGTTGACTTGTATAGGGAGTCAACGACCCGCTGTCCGATGGGGGAATCGAAGCCGAGGTAGGGGCTAACGTGGGGAAATTCTGTTCGGTCAGAACTGGTGGTAACAGCTTCTGTTGTTGACGTTGGGGAATTTGTTTCGGTGGTGGCATGGTAACAGCTTTGGCCGAGATTGGTTCGAACCGAGGCCGGGAAGCTTGGTTCGAGGTCGTTTTAGTTAGGTTCGCAATGGGAGCGGCTTGGTTTGAATTTGTGTTGGTTTGGTTCGCACTATAGTCGACTGGACTCTCAATGTCAACATTTCAAAGGGGCGTAATTGCATTTGTATACAATGGCTTTAGTCGTCGATTTCTCGCGAATGAAAGCTCATTCATGAAAATGAATGAAACCAGCAGGTAGAGGAATGTTTCCTGTCCCAGCTGGCATTGCTAATTTAGAGGGTTGGGCTTTTATTTGCAATAAATCGACGGCTGAAGCCATTGTTTACAAAAGCAATTATGCCCCTTTGAAATGTTGGCACTGATATATTGTTTATGTGTTGCTTATTTAATCTCTCGATTGTCGACTATTGAAAGAAAATAGTCATTTTTTTAGCGATCATGTATTTTGAGAGTCATGATGGAGAGCTTGGAATTAAACCCATGATTTTTTTTCTCAGTAAGCAAAAACGATCCCTCCAGGGTCATCGAGCATCTCAGAACCATAACTTTTCGCGACTAAACGCTACTACGTTTTCGCTTGCTATGTAACGAACGACTTAAATACGCGATAATGCAAATAGTATCCGAGGTTGATGGTTAATCTTAAATATACAAATTACGATGGCGAATTATTGTGCTGTGGAAGAGATTGGGGTTAAAACCATGATTTTCTGCTAGTAACCAAAAACGATCCCTCTAGGGTCATCGGGCATCTCACAATCCACAGCGCTTCGGGTCGAAGTACGATTATGTTTTCTTTTGGTATGTAACGAACGATTATGATTCGTGATAATTCATGTATTTTCTACGGCCCATGGTTAATTTAAAATATGCGAATAGTACTGCCAACGACGACGATAATAGCAAATTTGGAGCTTACCTTTTGCCAATGATAAAAACACCTTGGCACCTCCACTGGATCCTCGTGTGCATCTAGTTCCAGTTCTTGTTCTTTCTTTTGCGAAATTTCCTGATTTTGTACGTATTCTAAAAGTACAAAAGATAATATAATCCAGGCTATCAAAAATATTCCAGCATGTAAATGTATCAATCTCAGTTGCTTTTTTTTTGCGGAACATATCTTCCCCGTTAAACCAGTTTAGCTGATTCCCGGGAAACCAAATAAGATTTCTGGGACCAGATTGTTGGCAAATTTGTTCAGGGTAGAAAACACTTATTATAATCACAAATTTTCCAACATTTTTACCAATCTACTATTCGAATTTTTCAAAGCTTTTTCGTCAATCTGTCATCGTGAATATTTCGCACCGCTTCTCTGGCGGATTTTATTATTCTTTTTCTTGTTTAAATACTTCACTGCTCATTTCAGTCATGATTCCTTCTCAGAGGTTTTCTCAACCGATCTATCATCAAAACTTTTAATAATTATTATTTCCTTGTTAGTGTACATGTCTACTCCTCTGCGCTTCCGTCAGGCAGCATACCAACAAAGAACTCTATTCTTTTCGTTAGTAATGGCCTACATTCGCAAGAGCTTATACCGTCACAATACAAAAATTTTCTCAAAAGGTACACAGCTAATTAAAAAAAAAACCATCCTACCAAAAAATAAATCACTGGAAAGTGCTAGTCCATTTATAAAAAAGAAACACATCACAGAAGTTCAACAAAAAACTGATTTAACGAACAGGAATAAAACGACATCATCTGCATTTTTTAGCTACTGAAAAATAAATAATTAACACATATTTTGTATCGCTCCACGAAACTTCTTCCAATGAATTTAGGCTAAATCACAGCCATAAAACTTTGTACCGTGGCTAAAAGTTAAAGGTTCTCCAACTGTCGAGTGAGCAATCGTACTTATCCGAATCGTTTCGACCATCCATCATCGTCAGAAAGGGAGCCCACTTTCAAATTGCCAATTAGGAAAGAGATTCCACACTTTCCCAAAACGGCCCTTTTCTAATGGGAGGGGGAAAACTTACACCTTGACGCTACCACTCGTAACTGGTGATATTAATTTTTCTTCCATCTTCCTGTTCGTTTCAGCACTTCCGCCACGGAGCTCATATCACGGAGGGGTGTTTTCTCACGGCGTCACTACGGCTCAGTGGATCAGGTAAGTTGGATAGAAAGGATGATAGAAACATTGTATACGAGCAGCTGCCGGTAGTCATACTCACATTGCCATCTACGTCGCAATAAGATTGAAATCCGTTCCGCTGTGGTTTGATGCTTTTGATTATCAAGATGATTCTAATGTGTGGAAATTTACAACTTCATTTTAATTAACTGACTGGAGGAACTTTTTTTTTTATTTAAGCAGAATAGAAATACCATGACATGTGATGCAGCCTTTTGTGCTTTAATCCGAATGAAGTCTGATACCCATTGGTAAGCTTTGATATTGACCTAGTTATCGTGCAGAAAACATGCATATATATATTTAAGCTATGCTAATTGGTGCCTTACGGTAATGACAGAACTTTCTCGTTCCTGACCAAAGTTTTTCAGCGCCGAATGGAGAAATGCACAAAACTTCACATAAACAAATACAGAGCTTCTTTAACTACATGCACAAACTTTCCAGTTGGATTAATGCAATACTAACATAGTGCTCGTGCATGCAATTTAGGCCATTGCTCATTTTTTGGACCTATCACTGACATCACTCGCAAAATAATGTTAATCGTCAACGTATATTCCGGAGCGACAAATTAATTCTTTTTATTCCATTTATTATGCAACTGTCGGAAGGAAATCATAACATCATTAACGATGAACATTGTTATCGAAACGCTCACACGCAAAATAATCAATTGGGCTTTAGCCTTCCCCACGTGAGTTTACCAACTTTTCATAACAAGAGAGTGGTATTTTTCACCGGTGCTTAATCGCATCCGTCCACTGGGGTCAAATTGCTCCGACTCCGACCATCCGCGCACTCAGCCGCACAAACACACCCACACACCGCAACCATTATATCTCCATGTCACATCGGTCGAAACGAAGTCGTGTGGTTCATTTTTATGATTTCTGTTATGGCTCTGGAGTCCTGGTTCCAGTATGAATAGTGATACAATCAACGTAGGGTATGTTACTTAATGGTGGGAACAGGAAATATGCCTCGGAAGCACTTTATTTTACAATGAAATTACGACTTTCCTAAGCATCAGCGTTCCTCGATTGGGAAACTACCCCTAGCAAAAGGAAGCTAGCAACCTGACAATACAAATGGGAGGGTGTGACCTTGGGTGGATGAACAAATGAGCGAAAAAAGGGAGAAATCCCCAAATCTGGTTAACGTGCAACACGGTTACATTACGAACTTCGAACTAGGTAAGGTATGGTGGGATTTTTTTCGGAGAGAGTGCGCATCAGTAGATTGGTACTGGACACAAACAAGGTGACATGATTCGATGAGTTTTTAATCGGATTTTGCTTTTTTAGAAAACATCATTGCCTTACAACTTTTGGTTAGAAACGGTCTCCATTGCACTTGTTTCTGAAACAAGCACGGATGGGTTATATAAGCACACCTCCTATGATTGGCTATATAAATCACAAGTGATAGTTCAATCCGGTTCTGATTAGCCTCCCAAAGTTTGAACTCAAATGATAAGAAACCGATTTAGAACAAACGATTTGAATTTTATCCGTAAATTACTATGAGAAAACCAAATACTTTCCACATTGACTTCTAGCCTTTTTCCAAATTGGTCTGTAAAAAAGTTTTATAATTATTCTTATGAGAAATTTTTTCAACTACAACTTTCCAGAACATCATTTTCAGCCAAACGTCAATTTAAATAGGTGTTAATTGTTTAACAGCCTGACAATCTTATGGCTTAAAAAAGCAGCTGTTATATGGGTAACACTGTTTTCTGTAATGTGACATAGTAGCCACGCTCTATTCTACGCGTTAAAATACGAAAGTTGCCTGATGAACAGTTGATTGAGCATTATCATAAGAAATTTTTTACTTAAAATGATCTTTATTTCTTGTATTTATGTGGTTTACATGTATGACTTATCAAGTGACACAGATGTGTCTTTTCAACTCTAGTTCTAATGAAATTTCAATTATTATTAATTACAGTTCCTAGTCCTATCAGGCCTGTTTAGTATATGACCATCTTGGTGTGATTGGTTTTTTTTTGTTTAAATTGGAAAAAGGAAACTACTTATAACTACAACTTATACGTACACAACTAACCTACAACTACTATATACACGTAACCTACTATATACAAATTGCTTATCAAATCATGTTCTGATAAATTACATTTTTGTGCAAATTTAGTCTTAATTTCGTTAATTCTCGAATCTATTTTGGCAATGCCTGCCTCTTCGTGTAAATTTGTTATTCTAGTGTCGAAAGGACGATCAAGAACCATCCTCAGCACTCTATTCTGAGCGACCTAAATTTTGTTCCTGTGAATCTGTGCACATGATTCCCAAACCGGAGCTGCGTAGAGGATCGCAGGTGCTATGATTTGTTTGTAGACAGCCAGTTTGTTCACCCTTGAGAGGCGGGATCTGCGGCAAATCACCGGATACAGACACCTAACCAAAGTAGAACACTTGACTTTAGTTTTCTCTACATGCGCACGGAAGAGGAGCTTTTCATCGAACGACATCCCGAGATAGGTTACTTCGGCAGACCACTCAACCCTTGTGCCACCCATGATTACAGTACAAGATGGAGCCGGTTTCAGTTTGGGCGATTGCCGATGGAGGAACATGATCGCTTGAGTTTTTGAGGCATTGATTTTGATTTTCCACGCGGTGGCATAATCAGCAAAGGCGTTAAGGCATCGTTGAAGTTTGTTCGTTATTTCGCGGCATCCTTCCTTTGACGGCTATTGCGGTATCATCTGCGAACAGGAAAAACACGCAACCGTCTCCGAAGGGAGGAATTTCGGAAGTGCAGAGGCTGTAAAGCAACGGGCCCAACAGACTTCCTTGCGGAACACCTGCTGGGATGGAAAACGTGTCTGAAAGATAACCATTCAACGATACCTTAAACGACCTTTGCTGAAGGTAGTTACGGGTGATTCTAACCAGATGTAATGGAATGTTGAAGTTACAAAGCTTGTAAGCAAGTCCGTCATGCCAGACAATGTCAAACGCCTTTTCAACGTCTAGCAATGCCATGGTTGTGGACTTGGATGCAGCTTTGTTACTTCGGATGTTATTCATCACTCGTACTAGCTGGTGATTGGTGGAGTGCCCCTTTCTGAACCCAAACTGTTCCGGAAGGGGAATATTGTTTCCCTCACAAACTTGTGCAAACGATTGAGAATAAGTTTCTCAAACAACTTGCTCAGCGTTTAAAGGAGGCTGATTAGTCTGTAGTTTGAAGGCAATGTTGGATCCTTTCCGGGTTTGCGGATTGGTATGATTTTTGCTACCTTACAGATGCTTGGAAAGTAGTGCAGTATCTGTTGAAGATAGGGTTAGAAGAGGCTGCACTGTAATGCTGAGTCTCTTCAAGATCAAGTTGAATATCGCGTCAAACTCGGGGGTCTTTTTGTTCTTGGTGCATTTCAGCGCTAAGCAAATCTGTTGTACTGTAATCATATCCGCCGGAGGCACGACACAAGGGGAGGCTTCTAGGTTTTGAACGCATTGCGCAACCTGATCTTCGAGCGGACTTTGGATATTCGAGCCAAGCAAATGCGATGAAGCGACATGTTCGCCGATCGCATTTGTTTTCTCCCGTGGGGTTATTAAAAGCCGATCGTCATCATTTTCGACTCTGAGAGGTGGAACGGGTTTGAGATGAGTTTTCAGGACTTAAGCTACCTTCCAGAATGGTCTGGATAACATGCCCAAAACTTTCATTTCGAAGTGAGTCCATTCTAAACCAATATGCCTGTTCAGATCGGGCATTTCACGTTTTTTGCCCAGATCTCCAGTCCTTTGACACTGGTGTCTACGAACATTTCTCAACCGAATCAGTAATTAGGTGTGGGAATCAATAGCAACAAACTTATCTCTCTCAGGAACTTGTTGAACACATGCCTCGTTAGCCACGGATATGGCCTGTTGGAGTCCTTCCAATTCCCGGTCATCTACGGTATCGAGCGGTGGATTTTCTACGATGTTTCTGTCCACCATTCGTCCGTATTGCACCCAGTTGACATGGTGGTGGTCTTTAGGCAGGCAGCTTCTAGCAAGAACCAAGTTGACACCGACTTCAGCCACCAGGTTGGTGGTCGGAGCTGAGATCGTTGAGCACCTCCGGCTTGGATACTCCGAAGTACGACAGGAAAAATCCAAGGTGGAGGGATAACCCGCCGGAGAGATGAAAGTTGGTTCGTCCGGAAACTGCACAGTGTACAGTCCATGTTGTGCGTGGTCGAACATTAGACATCCGCTCCGGTAATCATAAGACATCATAGACTTGGACCATTAATAACTTTTTTTTCCTTACATTTTATCGAAAAGTAATCTTCAACAAAGTTGTAGTGCAGACATTTTCCTACAAGCAAAGTTATGAATTTTTAGATAGGGGAAATGGCTCTAATGTCGGCCTATGGATCTAAGATTGGGCCCATCGCTAAAATTCTGGTATTTATCAATTTTATCTAGATGAATGCGTCATTGGGACGGTACTAATGGATATTTTTGGCGGCTATTGAAAATTTCATCGATTGCTGAATTTACGTATGGACCCAAATTAGGAGCATTTAGGCCGACATTACATCCATTTCCCCTATATATGAACAAAAAACTTGTTTTCTCATAGTAATTTCCATATAGATATCAAATTAATTGTGCCAAGACAGTTTTTTACTTAATCAGTTCAAATTTTTGAAGGCAAATCAGGACCCAATTTGGAATTGTTTGAGCACTGTGGAGTGAAAATTTTAAATTTTGCAACAGTTTAGTCATTCCTAGTTGAGCATTCAGTCGGTTAACAACGTCCCGGTTTCAGTTGCGTGGCATCTAGTTTTTTTCGGTGTTTTTTCCGCCCGAGCGGTTTTTTTCACCCCCCATTGGGTGCCCCAAGTGACCAGTGTCCAACAGAGGAAGTGGAATTCCATCGGCCGAGCCCCTTGGAGTTACCATCCAGCTTTAATTCATCCCGGTAATCCATCACCGGAGTTAACG